GGGGGAGGGTTCACGCCGGCTTTGAAGGCCTTCAACGCCGCCACGTCGGATGCTGACGTCAGCGCGTCGGCGGAGCCGAGGAGGAGGAGGAGGAGAAAACCGCCGGAGAAGAAAATGGTCGGATCCATTATTTTTTGGGGGTGAAAAGGGTATTTTGGAGGATTATAGTGGAAGAGTGGTTTGGAGTTTCGGTGATGTAATGTGATGTCTGATGCAATATTATTTATACAAGTGTTTCACTGTTGTCGAGGCTTGTCTTTCGAAAATTTTATTATCAACTATAAAAAAAAAAATAAAGATACTAATTTAATGTTATTGGGCTATATGTATATATAATTAAATAAAAAATATTAATTTTAATAGTGATATGAGACGATTCAAGTATTACTGATTTGTTTTGTATCTATCTGTACATGTATAGTACTAAATCTATATAATTTTTCTTTATTGTTAGATTGTATATATATATATATAATATTTTTGTTATGAAAAATCGTTGGATATTTTGGTAAAATAAAGTTTTCAATGTTTTTTTGTTGAATGTTATGAGATTTTTAAAGGAGAGTTATTCTTCTCAAAATCTACTCGACCATTCATTTATGATCAATGTTTTTCTTTTTTTTTTAATTAAAATTTTATATTTCAATGTTGGATTGACAACAAGTCTTTTAATTTAGTGAACAAATATGTAACTAAAAATCAGTCTCTAAGAACCACTATAAATAAGTATGGGCCAATAAATGATAATAAAAAAAATGTTAGTGCTAAAAAGGGTCTCTAGTATTAAAGAAAATGAAACTGACCTTACTAATTACGAATGTAATGATGATGATGATGATGATGATGATGATGATGATGATAATATAATGTTGTTGCTGTTGTAATAGGGAAATGGATATGATGGAATAACAGAAGTTTCTAATAATTGAGAGATGGAGTTGGGGAGCATTTAGAAAAGCTACAAGATTCCTCCTCACCTTTTTTTTTATGGGCTCTAAAGTGACTTTGTGGTTTGGTGAAGGAAAATGCTTCTTTCATTTCATAGTAAAGATTTATGAGACGGAAATATGAACGACGATACATATATATATATATATATGTGTACTGTATAATATAAGATTGGAAGAACTGTACATAAATTACAATCATAATGTATACGCAGAGGCAGCGCCGTATTTTTATTTAATATCGTCTTAGGTATCTAATGGATACTGATTTCGTCGTGTATCTTGTCACCCGGTTAGGAAGTGTATTTTTTTCGCAGCCCAACCAAAGGCCCAAAAGAAAAGTCCAGATCCAGATTTTATGGGCTGATGATCAAGGTTCTTGTAAGTAGGGATGTCAATTAAACCCAGAACCCGAAATCCGGTCCAAGCCCGCTCGAAAATTGTAAAGATATGGGTCTAAAAAATATAGGTTCATTAAATTTCGAGTTTTCGGGCCTCGGGTCAAATGGGCTGCGGGCCGGTCGGGTCAGGCCAGTCAGGTTTCGGGCCGGGCTTGAGGTCCGTTATTTTTTTTTGTTTTTTCTAACCCTCTTTTCTAAACCAAAGTTTTACCTTTATATATTTATAAATATATGTGTCTATATATATTTAAACCAAGTGATAAACTTTTATATCTTGGTTCTAATTAAACTTTTTAAAGTGATGGGAGTTTTGAATTTCTTAACCATATTACATCATATATATATATAAGTTTATATTTTTGAAAGGATAGAAGTTTTCAAATATATATATTTTTAAACCTTTGTTTGTATATAAATATATTGATTTTTTTTTCTATAGGTTTCAAATTAATTACATCATAGAATTTCTTTTTATATTATGTTTGTTATTTTTTTTTATCACGTTTAAAAGTTTGTAATTGCAGGATGTGGTGTTGGAGAATTGAACAATTAGATAATTTTTTCAATTTTATTTTTATTTGTGAACTAAATAACTT